TAAATAAATAAGAAAAAAAAACCCATTGCCTGTTGTTGAAGGTGAGCATCTTGAAAAAGATAGGACCCACCCGGGTTTGAACCGGGGACCGTTCGGACTGCAGCCGAATGCTCTACCACTGAGCTATGAATCCGACGCTTAGGAACACCATGATGCTTAATAAAATACATAGTGTTTTTTTGGTTTTTTTTTACCAACGTGGGGAAAAGGTATGTCGGTGTCAGGAAAAAATCCCCATTCCCAGTCGGGTGGTGAGGGGCAGGGTCTCTTGCCCATTTCCCCTCTAACGCGCCATTAGGCGTAGAAGCCGCGGCTGCCAGAGGCTGGGCTATTGCGTTGGTTTTTTTTGGTGGTTGGGTGTTTGGTGGGTCGCGGTTGGCGGCCGGGTCGCGGCTGGTGTCCCGGTCGAGAAGGCGGTGCGTGTGTGTCTGTGTGCGTTGGGTTGTTGTTGTGTTTTTCTGCGATGTGCGGGGTTGGCCTCCGGGTAAAATATTGGTTTGGTATGGGTGTGGTGCGAGTCCGCGTTTGTTTCTTTTGCCTGTGTTTTGGAGGCGGTGCCTTTTATTTGTTTTCCCAGCTTTCTAGTTTAGGTGGTGATGGTGCCCTTGTGGTATTTTTTAACCGCAGGTTTTGGGTTCGTGACCTTTGCATCCTTGTTCCGACCGAGGTTGTTTCGGTTTCTTGTGATCTCCTCTGGCGTGGGGTGCGCTGTTGGTTATGGACTGACGTTTCTGGGGAATTTGAATACCCACTCGTTTAAAGCAGTTAGTGAACCCATTCGATTGCGAGAACCTCCTGCGAACTTCAACATCATTTCCCAGCGAATATTCGAGCACCTAACGGAAAGTTACAACGAGTTGGGCCAGTTGGATATGGGTGAGGAGCATGTTACCGTGAAGCCTAATGTTTTCGCTCAGATGGGTGTTGTTGACATCGACGACGTTCGGAAGCTGTGGTCTTCGGTAATCATGCCCCAGCTCCGTCTCTGCATGGGTGGTAATGCTCTTTTAAATCGCATGGAGATGTCAACGATAGCAATCGAGAATGACACTGTCTTTTGTGATATCGGAAGTGGCGTAGGAAATGTATGTCTTCAGGTGTTGGCGGAGACTCATTGTAAAAAGGTGGTGGGTGTTGAAGTAATTCCTTCTCGCCAACGTAATGCCACTATAGCTTTTGAAAGAGCCAAAAAGTACTACCCAGAGTATTTCGATGCCAAGAACGCTATTTTTCTTCAAGGTGATCTTGTTAACTACAGTTCGCGCTTGATAGAAGAAAAGGTAAATGTGATTTTTACACATTCATGGATGTTTGATGATGAGTTAATGCGAAGGCTAACGGAAGTGGTCGCTTCGGTACCAACAGTGTTTTGTGTGGTAACATCGCGTAAGCTAAATGATAAGCTTTTGGCTGATCATCCTCTGAAGCTAGTTTCTCGGGTTCACTTACGCACCGACTGGAATGATGAGGCTCCCTTTTATGTTTACAGAAAACAGCTGTAACGTTTATGTTTAGAGAGGAAGAGCAAAGAGAGAGGGGATAGGTGTAAACGGGGGTGGGGGAGGGTGCGGATGGGTTCATTAGTCGAGACAACTGTGATACCTGGATAGGCGAGCAAATACGAATTTCCCAAACCCTGTTTTCAAGAAAAATGTGATTCCAGGAGAATTGGTTGTTAACCTAGTCTAACAAAAAAAACCAACAAAAAGGAACATAAAAGTGAAAAATGATCCATGAAGTTCTCATCTTCTCTTTTCTGAAGGATTGATACCATATTAATGCTCTCCGAATGGTTCCTTTTAAATGGGCCAGTGCGGGTGAGGAACCTGAGGTCTGAAGAGCCTGATTTTTTGTGTTAATCCGTTTTTTTTCATTTTAGCCCGTGTATTACTACCTTATATTTGATGTGCGTGGCGGCCACTTCTTAAGACCATGTGTGTGCACCGTGCCAAACGAACAGAAGACCGAACTAAACGTTACTTGGTATGTACTTAGTTTTATTTGAAGGATATTTGACACCCTTTTGTTGTTGGTGGTTTTGCAGTTGGTATTGCGGTCAATTTGGCTGTCCGCTTGTGTAAAAGAAAATACAGGAAAAACAGAAAAACGCTGCGTATTACTTGCCTGTTTTTTTTTTCTATACGACTGATTGGTCGTCTTTAGCCTTTTTCGTGGCGCGTGCTTTATATGATCTTTGTTACCAATTTGTTTTTTTTCTTTGCTTTTCACTTTTCACTTTTTCTTTTGTTCTTTTGTTCTTTTTTTTGTCGTTTGAAAATGAAATAGGAAAATGCAGCGAAGTCGCTATGGAATAGGTGGTGACCAATTGGGTCAGATAATGATGAATGATAACGAAACTACAGAAACATTTGGGACACAGAATGATAGTAGCCAACGTGATTCGGAGCAGCTCTCGTACGAGGAGGATGACGTCGTAATGGCGAGTCCATCGGTCGGTATTGTTAAAGATGTCATGAAGCGCTTACTGAGAGTGCAAAAACAGATTAAGACACTAAAACAGAACATTGAATCAGCTGAAAGAGGAAATGCTTCCGGGTCCCAGTTACTGGTGGGAGGCACTGGAGAAAATATAGAAGTTACGATGTCACTTTTGCAGCGGTATGATGAGGTTCACCTCTTTCTCTGGGGGCGCTTGACAAAATTGCTTTATGAAGAACACCAGCGATGCGCTGATGTCTACACTGACACATTGAATATGCATGATCGTGTGCCATTCGAGTCTCTCACACATGCAATTCACCATAACACAGCCTTCTGTGATTATATGGGAGAAATTGTGGATGCCACTATAGTCCATGAGGCACCCTCTACTCTAAGCGAGGTCGAATCCCTAGAGAGAGCTTTTATCAATCACACTAAAAGTATGGAAGAAACTCAGATTCTAGCTACTTATTCTGCGTTGCTAGTTGTGGAAGGTTCACGAGAAAGTTTTTTGGATCCTTTGTCGACGTATGACCTTTGTAGAGTTGTCGTGGAGGAAAAGAGTCGACGAAAGCGTCTCTTGGCACTTTCGCTAACTTTTAGTATGCTCGATCAGGACGACCAGGCTGTTGGTGAGGCTATTAGTCAGCAGTTGCCTCAGTTATTATTGCAGCGAGTAAGACATCTTATTCATCGAATTTTTGGTCATCCTGAGAAACACGGTGCGACATATTCTCGAGAAAAAAGAGGATCACCTTTTAGGCACTATTCCGCCGTCATTCACAGTGGTGGAAATTCTCCCACAAGTTCGCGGAAAGCGTCACCAGAGACCACCGGTAACAATAGGATTATGCTGGCAAGCGGGATGCCGCTTCTACCATCATCTGTAGTTCAAGGCCAAAACGCTAGCCCATGTCTACAACACATGGCTCAGGAGCATATTCCTATACACACTCAAACAGAAGGAGTTTCTGACATTAACAATGAAGGTGAGAAATCTGAGCGTCGGCGGACCAAAACAATATTGAACACTGAGGAATTTGAGATGGGGGGGAGACCATTCAAAATGAGGAAGGTGGAGCTAAATGAAGTAGAAGTAAACCGTCAAAAAATTGGTGAGAGTTGGGAGCCGCAGAAAGGCGAGAAGGTTGGTCGCGGGCCGGCGTGGGATTATGGAAGTCAAGGTGGAACATGCGATATGGGTGAAATCGTGGAGATAACGGCAGGACAGGAAGTTCTGGTACGCTGGCTGCAAAATGTAGATTCACCTACAGAAAACGAAACGAAGAATCGTGTGTTTCGCTACAAGTACAAAAAGCCCCATGAAGAAGTTGTTCTGTGGCAACGATATTTGTACATACAAACAATGAAACCGGATGATATCAACTTCAAACTGGAAGAGTTTATGCTAAACTGCGCTGTCGTTGGAGCTCTTTGCAATCAACGCGAAGCTGTTTTACCAGCCCTGCAGTTTCAGACGATAGAATCTATGATCCATGTGCTGGATAGTGTTGACTTGACAAGTGCTGCGGATGCGGCTGCAAAAGCGGAGGAATATGCAGAGGAACACGGAAGGGCATTGCTCGGACTCGAGGAAGAGGATGGCGCTGTGGATGAAGATGCACTAGAGAATTATTTGCGCTGGGATGCCAATCTTTATTTAGCGAAGGAACACTATCGGCAGGTGAGAGAAATCGTTGCAAGGATTGGTTGGGTACTAAATGCCTTGTTATCCCATAAAAAATTGGCCTTTATTTTCCTGGAATTGGATGGTCTACAACAAGTCATGACGTTGATCAACGGGCGTTTGGAGGTTTCAACGACTTATGGTTGCTGTATAGTGATGTTTCAACTAGCGAGGAGTGCTGTGTTTGAAAGACTCCTTCGGAACCATGGCAAATATTTTGAACCTGTATTGAACTTTATTTTGCATCAGTGGAAAAACGCATCGAACCATGAAGTACAGGTTAGTGCTGGTGGCTTCCTTTTCCACGCACTGAGTTTTCCTTGTGTGGTTTCATTCTTTGACGCCCATCAGGGGCCACAGACAACTGTGAGTACAATAGAACGTCTTTTAAATACTTCAGACGAGAGGTTTGACGTTGTGTACCCCGGATTAACTCTGGCGGCATTGAAGTGTCTTTACATCTATCTTATTTCTCATTTGATGCTATCTACGCGAGTCGTTTTTAGAAAACATCGGTTTTTGTCAGCGCTTGTAACAAATTCGTCCCCGGAGGTATCGTTACCTCGAGATCCGGCAAAGGTTGAATCAGTTTTGAACTTTCTCTCAGCTGCTTCAACAAGTATTCCCGATATCTCGATTGAAACTGTTCAAAGCTTGCTGACTCGTGACAGGCTTATCGCTTTTCGGAATTTAGTTGACAGCAACTTTCACCAACTTTTGTTTCGATGCGCACAATTCTACTTTGCTCAGAGTCGATGGGAGCTGCTTGCCGCTTCGTTAAATGTCTTGTGTGTTCTGGCAGTTGTTCCATTTATTCGTCCCTTAATAGCTGATGCGCGGTACCCTGAGTCTGGTATTGTGCACTTGATTATGATGGTAAGTGAGTTGGCTGCAGCGTTTCATAATGGAAATACATCCAGGGAGTCACATTTGATCCCGTGTGTGGCTACCGCATTGCAGATTTTGCTGCATCTAACAGTACTTCCCACAGATAAAAATGATGAAGCAGCTGTTGCAACCTTTAATCAGGTGTGTGGTGTAGTCAGAGCAAGTGATGGCGTCCGAACCTTGTTGGAGATTTTACGAATTAGAAAAGATGCAACAATGTCGGCCAAACTTCAAGTTTTCCCAGTAGTTGCACGAGCTTTGCAACTGATGGTGACTCTCCGACGTTATGCTGACACACGTCTTCTTTTTGATGCTCTCGGGGTGAGCGCAGTGGTTCGAGAATTGCGGTCACAGTACACTGATGTTCAGAAGGAATATATTTCTATGATGGGTTCACGTTACGCCACAAGCGAAGGGCATGCAACAGGTTGTTTTATGGAGAATGTCAAGTGCTTCCTGATTGACGAAACCAATCAGGCGCCACTAACTGTTTCGATGGATCCCGTAGAGTTGGAGCAACGACAAGCCATCATTGCTCGTTCACACATCAACTACTCACGAGAATCTTTGTTGGAATTGATATCTCGGCACTTAGAAACTGAAGGGCTTCAAAATGCGGCCTCGGTTTTGCGTCGTGATGCGCATCTTTCCCTGAATCCTTCGCTCTTGCCGCAATCTATTAATGCAGGGACAGATGTGACGGCGTTGTCAACAATAGGTGCACCCACTCTCGATGGCATCATTCGCTCTTACTTAAGACAGCAACATGAGAAGTGTACCAACCCTATTGCCACCCTTCCTCAGTTCGACCTGGGAAAGAGTCATGTGTATCACCCACTTGATATGCCTGTCGATCACACAAGAAATGCTTTTAACAGAAGGCTGGCCCAAAAGCTGGGTATCGATTATTCTCTGCGTATGAGAACAAGCGAGAATCACCTCATTTATCGATATCCGGGCCATTTGTTTGACATCACAGGGGGTGGTGATGATCTGCAGGGAGACTGCGTTGCCTTCTGTGATAATGGAGATACACTGATTGTGGGAACTTCAGAGGGAGCGATAGCCCTTTTTGATACGTTTCCAGACGACACCTCTGGGGATAAATTGTTGGAGCAGCACCTTCTCTTTGACAATGAAGGAGTCGCTAGAGTTTCTGTCTCAGATGACGGGACGTTGTTTGCTGCAGTTAGCGCTGATGACACAGTGGCTGTTATGAGGCGCGAGGCGCTTCCCGTTGTGATATACCGTGTTGAAGGTAGCCGTGCTGCACGGTTTTCTAACTCCAACACTTACCTCTTGACAACCTGTGGTGAGCAGCACACATGCCGCCTGTATGACATTGCTGCAGAGCGTGAAGTGCATCATTTTAGCGATCCGTCGTGGTTAGGTGAAAATATGGACAACGTTGCCACGTTCGACTCCTCATCGCAGCTCATTCTCAGTGATGCCGTTCTATGGGACATTCGCTGCAGCGACAAGCCCATATACCGTTTTGACCGTTTCACAGAGTCGTTCTGTAACGCTTTTCATCCTTCCAACCTTCTTGTTATGATTGACGAGAAGGTGTGGGACTTGCGGACGTTTACGATGCTGCGAACTGTACCTTCCTTTAAGAATACCAGCAGCTTTCACACCAACGCCTATGGCCGAGTGATTTACAGTTTTCGAGAAGTTTCCAGTTTAACAAACTCTACCTCTCCCGTCCTTTCGGCTGTGGAGAGCTGCACTTTTGAAACAATCTTCTCAACTGAGGTGCGCCCGCCCTTCAGGGCGTTTGCGGTTGATCCGTCAGATCGCTACTGTGCCGCGATTCTCGAGCAGGATGCCGAGGCAGTTGTGCGAGTGTTCTCCACCTCCTCAGGGCCGCTGCCGGGGCAGCAAACATTTCCGCTGCCCCAAGGCAGCCGTGATGCCGAGAACGAGGACGACCTTGGCGAAAACGAGGACGAGGGTGAGTTGGACCATGACAGCTTCTGGTCCTCCGGTGATGATGATGACGATGACACGGACGATGATGAGACGGATGATGATGATGATGAGACGGATGATGATGATGAGACGGATGATGATGATGATGATGAGGCGGAGAGCGATAATGATGATGATGATGAGACCGGCACCGCTCTGGACAACGCCACATCAGCGGTGCCGTCCGATAACGACAATGAAGACGAAGAAGCGAGTGAGACATGGGAGGAGACGGAGGGAAGCATCGGTGGATCGATGAGTTCTACTTAAGTTGTGTTAAAAAGAGAAGGAGAGACAAGATGAAAAGCAGCAGATATTGCCTTGTTCCCCTTTTTTTCTTCGGTTCTTCCTTTGGGGATGCGATTCCCGCCGAGACGGCGGGTGGAAAAGCCAATGCGGGGGTGGCGGTGCAGCTGTGAAGTTTTGTGCGTTTTTTTTTCTTTCCTTTTTTTCGCATCTGGTGCTTCCTAGTGTGGCGCGCAGTGCTGTGTTCTAGCCCATGTTGTAGCGGCGCCAAAACAAAAAAAAAACGGGAATACCAAAAGGAAGACAAAACAAGTCTCTGAAGAGAATGATTCGCCGTCATTTCTTGAGGCGTATGTGCTGCCCCCCACGTGTGAGTTCTTGAGTCGTCCGTCTTGCTGTTTTGTTTCGCTTTTCTTCGTTCAGAGAGGCATCCATGCAGGGCTGAGAGGCGTATTATCATTATGTCTGACTTCACGCGAGAGGACGAGATTACTCTCGACATGCTGCGCACGAAGGGAGAGCTGGGCTATTTACAAACTGACGAGGCAAAAACACTCCAACAGTTGGAGCAGAGGTACGAGGTTTTTATCAAGGAAGGGTTACGGAATTTGGCAAGGATGGCACCGCGGAGATCCATTCGGCATATATGGCTTCAATCTGCTCTGATATCGTGGCCAATGTTGTGCCTGCTTCTCAGCTTGTTTTTCGTTGCACTGTACTTGCTTCATTCTCCGCAAGGAAGTGGAGGACCTCAGGCCCTTCTCCCCTGGCATCTGCGGTTGGTTGCGGTGCTGCTTGCTGCGGCCACACTGGTGGGCTTCACGCGGATGCGTGAACGCCCCTTTCTGAGCAGAGCAGTTCTAGTTGCCTGTATGGTGTCGCTAATGACATTGAGTGTGTTGATGCTCCTCTTGCTCTACCGCAGCCATCACACGGATGATGCACAGTGGGATGTCCGCTTGTGCGCAATAGTAGGAGGATTGGACGGTGTGATTGTGCTGGAGTCGGCGTTGCTCTTGTTTGCTCGCTTCTGAAGAAACTGAGAGCTAGAACCAAAAAGAAGCAAAGAAGAAGATACAGGCAGAAAAAATAGAAAGGCTCAGGTGAGTCGCGTGGTTACGAGGGTGCCCTAGTGGATGCCCCTTCTTTGCAGAGTGTCACTTGGAGATTTCTCTTTATTTTGTTCGTTCCTTGTTGCTTGCGGTGGGGGATGTTTGTCTTGGACACACAGCGGATAGGTGTGCAAGGATTATCCTAAAGGTCACATTCATTCTTCTTCGTTTTAGAGATGGACATCGCCTTTGTCGCTGGCATGCCACCGGTAACGAGAGTGTTGATGCTGCTTTCAGCGGCCTCGGTTGTGCTGGTGTCCTTTGGGCTCATCCACCCGGTGCAAATGATCTTTAGTCCCACTCTCGTCTTTCAGGAGAAACAATATTGGCGATTGCTGTCGACTTTTCTGTTTTTCGGCCACCTTGACCTCCGCAGTGTTATTGAGTTAAACTGGCTACACATGGTGAGCTGTAGTATTGAAATGCAGTACTTCCAACAACGCTGGTTGGACTACTGCTTCACCCTCCTTACGGGAATGGTGCTTCTGCTCCTCCTTCAAAGTTTCCGTGTGATTGAGACGCTGTACCTTAGCTTCTTATTCTCCAAGTCGCTCGTGTATCTCTTTGGTCGCCTGCTGCCCAACCAGGAGCTGAGCATCTTTGGCCTGGTGACAGTGCAGGTTCGGATGCTGCCACTTCTCCTTCTCGTTGTAGGCATCGCCTTTGAGGGTCCTAGTGGCATTTGGCTGGATCTGGTGGCGAATCTCGTTGGGCACGTCTTGTGGTACCTCCTCGAGATATTTCCACGAATCACAAAGGTGCACCCGCTGCGGTTGCAGCATCACTTTATGCAGTGAGAAACAATCTGTACACGATGCTAATGGCGTGCGCCATTATTCCTACTTGTGCTACCATTCCATGTGTACCCCACGCACGACCTCGCTCGTTGATACACTCGTGCATCTGCGAAGCCGTTGCTGCTCGAAGAAAGAAAACGCTTCTGCTCAACTGCACAATACAATGCCCATTTCTCTATTCAAATTTTGCTTTACTTTTGAAGACAATAATAAGCAAGGAAAAAAAAAAGGGTGTTGTGGACAACAGAAGAAAAAGTAGAGAGAGTTTGTGTGTGTGTGTTTGTGTGTAGAAAAAAAGGAGACTATGAGTCCCTTATCGGTGATGTGTGAGAGACAAACGACATCCTTTACGAAAGCGTTCAAAAAGCGGTACGTCACTTTTGACCGGGAGTCTCGCAAGCTGTCGTACGCCGAAGACGACTCCAAGCCACCTAAGGGTGTCATCATCGTCACGAAGGTGGTGCGCTGCTGCCAAGTGATGAAGGTGAAGGCGGCGGAGCTCCTTACACTGATGATTGACGGCAACCACGAGGACGGCAGGGCGGACCAGTGGACACTGCGCATGCCAACGTTACAGCTGTTCGAGGAATGGAATGAGACACTCTGGACGGCGTGTGCTGGTGCTGGGCTCATGGAGCCGTACAACTACGGCCTGCCACCCGTGGATCCGCGCTCGAACCTACCCTTTGCACAGGTACCGCTGCAACACCTTTTCAAGTTCTCCGGGTTAGAGAAAATGGTGATTCACTTCTTTGGGGCCATCACACTCCTGTCATCGACTGTGGCAAAGGACACCCAATCGCCACATCACGTTCTGGTGGTGGGGGACAGGGCAATTTATGTCTTCAACCTTAATGCTACCGTGATATACTGCAGTCTTATCAGTCATATACGCAAGCTTCACCACGGGCCAGAAGCGACTTTTTTTGCCCTGCAGCTAAGACCCCCGGCGCCGGATATTGTGGTAAAGGATTTTTCGGGGGCCGTGCAAGTCGCATCGGTTGTGGGTAGGCTGTACCAGGTGGCAACTGGCAAGAAACTCAATATCATGCCTATTAACGTCCCCACGGCTGAGGTGCTGGTGGAGTCGCAGCAACTGCGTCTGAGCGCGGGTGAAGGGTATAAACTTCAAATGGTTCCACCAAGCACTAAGTTGCGTCTTCGTCAGGCAATCGATGCGAAAAGGGATGAAACAGACGCGGATGCTTATGGAAACAGTGACGAGAAGCCACAAACAGGTAACGGGGCTACAGCTGATTCTTCCACCTACCCTGACTCCGCAGATCCGCTTACAAAGCTTCTACACGGCATTGGACTGTCACAGTATGCCCCGACGCTTCTGAGCCAGCACGTTGACTTGGACGTCCTAAAGTGCATGGATGCTTCCGACCTCAACACTTTTGGTGTCATGGATAAATCACACTGCCAGAAAATTCTTGAGGCTGCGCTGAGATCGGAAATGGATTTTCTGGGGGTCGGAAATGGCAATGGTAACGCATCAGCCACCCCTCCCACAGGCGTCGCTAACCCTGCTGCTGGTGGAATCGCGCTGAGCGACGACGACGACGATGATGACCTTGTCCTTCCTGCCACACGTCAGAAGTCAGTATCACTAGATGATGATTCGGACGTCGAACTCCCTGCCAAAAAGGCCCCTGCAGCCAATGCTGCAAAGCCAGCCATCACTATTGTTGATGACGATGACCTTTGAATCTGTTATTCAAGGCAGTACGTCGCGTCATCTTTCCCGCTATCGAGTCTTTATCGTTTATTCATTTTTTTGTTGTTTATATAGGATAAGCTTTCTGCCATAGAGTGTTGCGTGACAATATCGGGTATATGCTATATTATCAAGACCGTCGTTTTGACTTTTTCTTGGGCCAGGTTAGCTTCGTTCGCATGTACCCGTTGCTCGTCTGTGGGTGTGCTGCCTCCGATGTCTCACCTATTTCTTTTTTTTTTTGTTTGGGGTTTCTATCACAAAAAAAATATCAACGACAAAGGAATGTCCCGTGCATTTCTAGAGCGATGCCCGAGGAGACACCTTGTGGTGCACATGGACATCAACAAGACGATTATTCAGGTTGATTCCGCTGGTGGACGAAGCATGGAGGATGTCCTCAACAGCAACATCGCAGCAAATGTATGGGGTCGCCATGACGGCGATAAGTGGGTGGCCATGATGGGGCCTCATCAGGCAGGGGACCGCACCGGCTTGGTGACGTATGATGAGTATGTCGATAGCGTGCACACTGAACCAATGGGCATGCAGGAACTTCCTAAAGCTGAAAGGGATCGTGTGTGGCGCGACATATCGGCGAGTAGGAGGGCTGTGCTGCGCACGTTCACACATGCAGGGCAGCCGGGCGAAGACTACAAGCACCACATCGATGAACAAAGAAAGGTGCTGGCAGCCGCACCCAATCACTCGATCATTCCTTCTTTCTTTCGCTTTGTCAATACCCTCTCGGAGCTGAATTGGTCTTTTACTTTGATATTTCGAACATTCGGTAACGACCTGTCGAATGTATTGCGGGAGTGGCGGCAATTTGTCTTTGGGGAACATACATGCAAGCCCCAGGGCGCTGTTCTCAAGCGCATGAAGGAGGCGTATGTACCCGAGGCCACAGGATGCATTTTCCGCGAGAAGGAGCAGCTGTTCTTTTGCATTGGCCCGGAAAAGGCCGCTGTAGTGCATCATCCCGAGGGAGTTGAAACACTGCCTTCTGCTGAAGTTGTGTCGCAGTTGTCAGTGATGCCTTCTTGCAAAGAAGTTTACCAAACGAATTTTGCGTTGCTGCACGATCAACTGTTGGAGTACACCGCTGCATCCAACAACGTTGGTGGGCTCGTCGATTACTATCCCTTTTGGGCTCAAGGAGCCGAGCGCCGGACAGGCGGAAAGGTATTTCCGGTGGTTGTCGCGCCTCCCTCAACGTGTGAGAAGCCTCTCTACTATATATTTTTCGATGACAACATTTTCATTGGGGATGAAAAATCAATTGTCGATTTAAGGGATGTTGCAACTGGTGATAGCATTACAGATGCCGCGACGGAGAGAAAGTATTGCGTCGGTGTGAATCCATACAAGGCCATTGTAGAAGAGGACTACTTTGTGGATTGTCTGGCACGGAGGATTGCACTGCAGTTGGGAAAGGGTGAGTTGTGCGTTCATTAATTTGCACTCAAAGCTAGCTGTGTTGCCGCTCCTGCTGCTAATGCTGGGGTGTTCTTTACACACGAGCGCGCTTTCTGTTTTTTTTTTTTAAAAACAGTTCTTTCTTCTTCTGCCTTGCTTCACCGCTTAACTATAGGACTGGTGTGTGTATGTGGGCCCACTTCTGCACCTGTCGACAATGACGGAGTACAAGAAGCTCTGCGCGTTGGTGGCGCAACTCCGGGAGGAGAGCACAAGAATGGCACAAGCTTGTGAAGGTGGTGAGGAGAATGACGCTCTCGCGCTGCATTTGTTGTCGGAGTCGATTCAAACGTTAATATCAAATGCTCGCCCCCGTCTGCTAAAAATACTGCGTAAGGCACAGGAGACAAATCCCGATCGCCAGATCTACAACGAGACGATGTGCGGGGCGATCAAGGGGTTGTTTGAAGACTTCTGCGAGGGCGTTAGTGCACTCTTTGGGCAACCGATGCGAGATGCGTTAATCTCTGAAGATAATATAAATTATGAAGAGTGCCCGTCGCTCTCGTGGGCGGCGAATATGTATGACCAGTATATGCTGAACCTAGCGCGCACCGAGGCGTGGAAAAAACGCCTTGCTACTAGCATCGCGGATCTGGTGCTGTTTGAAGAGGAGACCCGTGCTGTGTATTCGGCTGAGGAAAAGCAAGCGCGTGGCACGCTGCTACAAGCAAAGAAAGCTGAGAAGGCGGACGCCATTCGGCTGCTGGAAGAGAGGGAGACTGCGAAATGGGAAGTGGAACTGCGGCGTCGCGGGGATGAGCACAAGCGGTTGCTCGGGGCGGCCAATCTGAGCGGTGGCCAAAGTGCAGAAAAGGCACTCCTGGATGTCCCTGTATCATTTCGGAAGTTATTCGCAGCAAATATGCTGCAGCTCGCGCGGGCCCTTCGCACGTCGCCGGAGGACCCGAATATTCGTCACATTCGGTGCAACAACGTGCGGGTAATGACAGAGTACGGGCACATCAGCTTGTGCAGCGAGTGCTTGACTTGCAAGGCCTTCCAATCTTGTGCAGAGGTGCTGTGGTACATGATGGGGTACCGAGTTGAGTATTCGTCGTCACCTGCGCTTTCCCTCCGCGCAGTGATTGAGAGGAGCCAACCAATCACATTGCCATGTGGCAACAATGCATCGGAGCACGCAATAACGCTTATCGGCTTTGAGGATTACTCGGAGCGCTTGTTTTCTCTCCACGAGCCCGACCCCACGCAGGAACCCAATGAGTGGATGACGTGGTACACAACGGTGGAGGCGTTGGCTCACTGCCTCGAGATGTACACGGGGTAAGCTGTGGCGGTTGCTATCAAAGGGTTGGGTGGTAGCGCCTGTATCTGTACCTGTTTCTTTTCCCTTTGGCTGTTGTTCTGTTCCGACTATTGTAGACTACTTATTGTCCCATTATTTTCCTTTTCTCATTTTTTTACATCGACATCCTCGTCATGGTCAGGTGAAGCTAAGGGAGATATCGAGGCCCAAAGGGATGTATGCCACGCGCAGGAAGCAAGGGGCACCTGCGCGGGCGCCTTTTCGCCTGTCGAATCCACGTCGGCTCCAAACACAGCGAGGCATATCTCCGGCAGGTGGGACCCTGCGGCTGAAGCTGCCGAGTGAGAGCACAATGCTCCCATCGGTGCGCTACGCGGCCCATCTGACGAAGTACGAGAAAAGCGAGATTCAGGGCTACACTGATGTATGTTATGTGGGCCAGAACTGCCAATCGAAGATCCCCGCTCCAGTGGAGGGCGGTTTTAACAGCGGGTACGATGACGAGCGGGGAGACTATGTAATAAAGCTGCACGATCACATAGCCTACCGCTACGAGGTTCTGTCCCCACTGGGAAGCGGCTCCTTTGGCCAAGTAGTCAAGGCTGCCGATCACCTCAAAGGCACTACCGTCGCACTGAAAATAATTCGAAACAAAAAACGCTTCACGGCGCAAGCAAAGGTCGAAGTGCAGATTTTGATGCATCTTCGAAAAGGGGATCCTGTTGGACAGTATGGCATAGTTCAGGCGCTTGATAGTTTTTCATTCCGATCTCATATGTGCATAACCTATGAGCTATTATCCCTTAACTTGTATGAGCACATGAAACAGCGCAACTTTCATCCTTTGTCGGTGAATGTAGTTCGAAAAATTGGGGCCGGGGTGTTGGTTTCACTCTCATACATGTGGCGTGAAAACGTCATTCACTGTGACTTGAAACCGGAGAACATTCTCTTAAAGGCACCCGATAGAGCAGCTGTGAAGGTAATTGATTTGGGATCGGCGTGCTTCGAAAACGCTCGAATCTACACATACATTCAATCGCGTTTTTATCGCGCACCGGAAGTAATTTTAGGCTGCCCATATACCAAGCGGATCGATTTGTGGAGCTATGGATGTGTTCTGTGTGAGCTTGCCACTGGATTCCCGATATTTCCTGGAGAAAGCGAGCAGGAACAGTTGGCCTGCATCATGGAATATCTAGGACCGCCACCGCGTGAGATGCTACTTCAATCTCCACGCAGGCATGAGTTCTTCGACGCCAACGCAAATTACGCCCCAAAGTTAGTTCCGAACAGCAAGCGACGAATACGATACCCCGGCACAAAGTCCCTTGCCGCGTTTCTCGGACTCCCCGATACAGACGGGTTTGTTAGCTTCATCAGACAGTTCCTCTGCTGGGTGCCCGATGAGCGCGTGCCCCCGCGCAAGGCGATGCGACACGAGTGGATCGCCAGCGCCTTCGAGGATCCGCCGTCGCAGCCGCCGCCGCCGTTATCAGCAGGCGTCACCAGGCTGGCTGTGCTTGCGGCAACAATGAATGATTATGGTGCAACAGCATCACCGTGTGGTGTGCCACATTTGCCAAAAATTGGTCCTCGTTGAAGGGGATGCCAGGCGCGAGTGGCGTGCCTTGAGCTTGTGTTCCTTTTTTGTCGTTTTCTCCTTTCCTCGGGGGCTGTGCGAATAGACGCTTGCCCATGTGCTCTACAAAACGAGGGGGTTACCAAGAAGAAAGTGTAGGGAAAGAAAGAGCGAGGGGATGAGAGAAAGAAAGAGGTAGGGAGAGAGGTAAAGAAAAAAAAAATTAAAATAAAATAGAGAAGTGGTGCAGAGGTGGTGCCCCCGCATTTCTGCGGGGGTAGTAACTAATACAATGCAATGTATATAAAGGGTTCCACCCATGCCTACCGAATGTGCAGTCTTTTCTCCTCACTTTTGGTGTGTTTTGTGTTGTTTGTTTGTTTGTTTGTTTGTTTTGTGTGGTGCCGCACTTCTCTCGTGGCGGCGTGTGGGGTCTGAAGCTGTTTTCCACCCCTCATTCTTCTTACACGTTGGAGGAGCGGAGACGACTCCAGCATTTTTGTCAGAGTCATCAAATTTATATATATATATATATTATCTCTCTAGTTTTTTTTTTTGTTTTCCTCTTTCTTGTGTTATTTTCTTCGATTTTCTTTCCCTCAGTTTCTTCCCCTCACCTTCTGCCACCTGCACATTGGATGACTTCGTGGGGCTGGCAATCGTCTGGAACCACAACCGCAACTGCTCGTACACCCACAAGATTGCTTGCGGCTCTCCCTTCACGATGCTTTGTATGCCTTTGCCTTTCCCACGCATCCCATCCTTCTAGACAGGAAAGTAGCAGCTTTTTTTTTGTGTTTGTGACTTGAAGCGTGGAGAAGAGCTGCCCCCTTCCGCTGCTGCTTGAAGTGATTTCTTCTGTTTTGTCTTCTTCACGTATTTTATTTCTCCCCCATTTCATTTTTTTGTGTTCTTGTGTGTTTTGCCGTCGCGCCCGTCTCGTTCTGCTGGCTGTGGCACGCCCAAAAGTATAGCGCCCTGATAGAAGCCTCGGTGTAGAGAAGACCCGCACGCTGCAATGACTTCCACTGCGGGACTCCTCACGACGGTGAGTGCGACAGTGACGCCCTTTCGCGTGCTGTATATATCACTGGTGATGATAGTGCTGAACGGCATCTATCAGGTGTTGCGTACACGCCACGAGAGCAAATCACCACGACGGCTTGTGCGACGAGGTGGCGGTGCCCATCGGCGGCCGAGCATCATCTTCGATCGCACCATGCTCCGCCGCATCGTAGAGCTGCTGCGCATCTGTTTCCCCTCTATGCTCTCTTTGGAATCGGGCATGGTATTGCTCTTGTCGATCCTCATGGCTCTGCGTTCTATGCTTTCGCTGAGACTCGCCCGACTAATGGGGGAGAGCAGCGAGGCGCTTGTTCGCAAGCAACTCAAGCGGTTTGTTTTTAGTGTCGTCGATGTTGCGGTTTATGCCATCCCCACGACAGTCACTGCTGTTGGCATTGCTTACACAACCTCCACCATGGAGCGGCGCTTCCGCGAGCGACTGCAGGATGTCCTTCATGGGGAGTACTTTCGGGGACACCGAGTGTACGACTTGGCTATGACGCGGGCCCTTGACAACCCGGCTCACCGTGTGACAAACGACGTGCAGCGTTTCTGCAGCGAGCTTACAGGACTCCTCCCCGCCGTTGTGAAGCCACTCGTGGATATCGTTATCTTCTCCACTGCATTGGCGCGTTTCGGCGGCTACGGTGCCCCGCTGTCAATGATGTCCTACTACGCCCTTGTCGGCGTGATCTTCAGTTCGGTGATGCCGAACTTTGCAAGCTTGGTAGCGCGCAGCAGGGAGAAAGAAGGCAACCTACGCATGATGCACACACAACTAATCCAGCACGCAGAGGAGGTCGCATTCTACCGTGGTGCGGATGTGGAATGTGAGAACGCCGACCGATTTCTGAGATCTTTTGTCCGATTGGAGCGCCACATCAAGCGTGTAAAGTGGTGGACGTCCTTTGTCAACTCGTTTTTCGTCAAGTACGGTGCTACCTGTGTAGGCTACGCGATCTGCGCGTTTGTGGTTCATCGGGAGAAGGACCACCTCGACGCTGCTGCGCTGACGCAGCTTCACGTGCACAGTACCCAGCTTTATATTCCCCTATCGATGGCTGTGGGAAAGCTCCTCTCCCTCCAGCTGAAGATTGGCGGGCTGTGCGGTAGCGCTCACCGTGTGGGCGAGCTGCGCGACGCCCTGCGTATCCTGGAGCGGGACCGGCAGAGCACAACCGGAAATGTCACGGAGGTGGTGGACAGCAATCAAATTGTGTTTAAGGATGCAGCAATCGTAACCCCCGCCGATCAGGTCGCCATTCAAAGCTATACTGAAGCTTTTCAAACTGGGCAGCCCGTCCTGATTATGGGATGCAACGGCTCGGGCAAGACAGCTCTTTTCCGCACGCTTTGTGGCCTGTGGCCGTTGCGCAACGGCAGGTTGGAGCGGCCCCCGCTGCCGCAGCTGTTGTTCCTCACCCAGCGGGTATACCTCCCGCCAGGGACGCTCCGAACACAGCTTATCTATCCCGCGGTAGAGGAGGAGGAGCGGGCCCGCGGCCTCTCTGATGCAACTCTCTTGCAGTTTGCTTCGGACATGGGCTTGGGCGGTGTTGTGGAGCGTGAAGGCGGGCTTGACGCTGAGAAGGACTGGAATGAGTCTCTTTCTGGTGGTGAGCGGCAACGAGTCGGCCTCGTTCGTGCGATGTACCACCGGCCTATGTTTGCTTTCCTCGACGAGTGCACCAGCGCCATTTCACAGGATGTGGAGCCGGCACTGTATGAAGTGCTTCAGCGCTGTGGTTTGACATTGATCACTGTTTCACATCGTGAGGCGCTGAAGGCTCTTCACCAGAAGGTCGTGATTCTAGATGGAGTGGGCGGGTACAGTGTGCGCGCGGTAGAAAAGAGACAATAACTCCAAGGTAATAATAATCATACAGTGCCCTTTGACGACGTACACCGGTGTGTGAAAAAAAAGAAGTTGGGTGAGGATGGAGGCAGCAAAGCTTGGGGGTGGCCAACGTGGTATGTGTCCGCGCCCAGTCCCCCGTTTTTTTGTTTTGCTATTTTTTTGCCTCTGGCGTGGCCTTGACTACTGATAGAATGCGTTGCTTCTTCTTTCTTCCTCGTCTCTGGTAAACGTGCTGTGTAGCAATGTGCGGCTCTTCTTACTGTTGAACCTCACCCTTTCTGTGCTCTCATTTCGGGATTCTTTTTGAACCTGAAACGAAAAAAAAAAGGAAACAAGAAACTGCCTCTATCGTTGTGGATTCGGCAGCGGTTGGCCTTGCATAGCTGAGGGGCTTCCAATGCACTGAGGCCGTGCGTCATGCGCTGATGTCCGTTGTCAAAGTCAATTGCATTCGCCACGGCTCCCCAGGGGGTGGCGAGCGAGAACGTGGCTGTGTGGCGAACAGTATCAATAGATGAGGATGAAGGCCGACGGCGGAAAATGCTCCACTGCTTACTTAGCGGAATCTCCTCCCCCGCTCTAGTTGTTTCTGTCGGCGCTCACAGCACTGCACACCGTTTTTTTTTTTTGAACAATCTTTCTCCGCGTTGCCCCCTCCTCCTCCTCCTCCTTTCTTTCTTGCTTTCTCTCACCGCCTCCGCACGCACTTACAATCGGCAAAAAAAAAGGTCCAAGGTAGTACCGTTTTTTTCTTCGTGTTACCTTCTCGTTCCATACGGCACCGGAGCGTGAAAGGAAGGTGCCCAGGTTCAACCTCAAACTTTTCACCAGAGACTCTTCCACACGCACGCACACACACACACACGGGAGGAAACCCACATTAACAGAAGCAATAATAGGTAGAGTGTCATTGAGTAAAGGTGTGAAGAAAAGTGCTAACCATGTCCACCATCTACAACTTCAAGGCAATGACCGTCGTCCCGACGTACAAGGACTTCATTGACATTGTCCTGTCCAAGACGCAGCGCAAGACGCCCACTGTGGTGCATAAAGGGTACCACATTTCCCGCATCCGTCAGTTCTACATGAGGAAGGTGAAGTTCACTCAAAAGACGATCAATGAGAAGCTCACCCACGTCTTGACAGAGTTCCCTCGCATGGACGACATTCACCCATTCTACGGCGACCTCATGCATGTGCTTTACGACCGCGACCATTACAAGGTGGCTCTCGGCCAGGTGGGCGCGGTGCGGCACATGGTTGACAACATTGGACGCGACTACGTGCGTTTGTTGAAGTATGGTGACTCGCTCTATCGATGCAAGCAGCTGAAACGCGCCGCATTGGGCCGTATGGCGACCGCGTGCAAGAAACTCACAAGTGCAATGGTGTATTTGGAAAAGGTCAGACAGCACATGTCACGCCTTCCGTCCATTGATCCGAATGCGCGAACGCTGCTCATCACCGGCTTCCCCAATGTGGGTAAATCGAGCTTTATGAATAAGGTCACTCGCGCGGATGTGGAGGTGCAGCCGTACGCCTTCACGACGAAGTCTCTCTTTGTTGGCCACACTGATTACAAGTATGCCAGCTGGCAGGTGATTGATACCCCCGGTATTCTTGATCACTCTCTTGAAGAGCGCAACGTTATTGAAATGCAGGCAATCACGGCGCTGGCACATCTCCGCGCGTGCATATTATTCTTCATGGATGTTAGTACCCAATGTGGGTATTCCGTCGCGCAGCAGGTTTCGCTCTTTAAGTCAATCGGACCGCTCTTCACCGGGAAGCCGGTGGTTGTCGTCTTCAACAAGAGTGACATCTGCACCATCGACGACATCTCGGCGGAGGAGCATGCTCTTATCATGGAGGCGATTGAAGAGGCGGGTGCAAAGTGGATTACCACCAGCACGCTGACAGACCTTGGCGTTGGGGACCTCAAGACACTTTCCTGCGACACGCTGCTCGCTCATCGCTCCGAGCAGAAGGAGGGCAGTGGGCGCTTCCAGGCGATCCAAAACCGTCTCTACTGTGCCGTGCCACAAAAGCGCGACAACCTGGAGCGACCCGCCCACGTTCCCACATCAGTGCTGTACGAAGAGGAGGAGCGCACCACCAGTGGGCCGGCGCGCGTTCGCCGCAAGACCGAGCGCGACTACGAGTGGGAGAATGGTGGCCCTGGCCAGTATCAACCAAACGAGCGCAAAACGTGGGACCTGGAGAACCCAGAGTGGGTCGACGACATCATTCCAGACATCATGGACGGCCACAACATCTACGACAACATCGACCCGGATATTCACGAGCGATTGTTGGAATTGGAGGCGGAAGAGGATGCGCGGCTGCAGGAGATGGAGATCGAGGCCTCCAAGAAGCGTCCCCAATATGATTTGAGCGACACGACTCTGGATGCTGTTCGCTTCATCAAGGACAAAGTAAAGGTGCTCAAGATGGAGAGGGCGATGAAGAATCCCGCTATCCGCCGTACCAGAAAGCAGGCGGACGCGATTGAGAAGTTTAACAGCCGAACGGGTAGCCAAGACGCTCGCTCTGCGACACCCGGTGCCTCTTCATCTTCCGGTGCCGCCAACAGCAGCACCACCACTGCCGGTAAGAAACGTGGCCGCTCGATATCTGTCGCACAGGAGGCGGTGATGCGCGACCGGTCAGGCTCGACGCATGTTTCCACGAAGTCAACACGTAGTATTAGCTCGCGTTCTGCGAGCCGTGAGCGCTCCCTGAGCGTGAGCCGCGGGGAGGGCTTCCGCGATGTCAATGAAAAGCTCCGCGCAGTGAAACTGAGCAAGGTGAAGGCGCGCCCGCGCAACCGCCAGGCTAGGAAGGGCGAGGGCGACCACCACACACCAAACCTCCGCCCCAAGCATCTCTTTACGGGTAAAATAAAAACAAACGGTAAGCGCGACAGGCGGTAAGGAGTGAGAGGACTTTACGAAACAGTGCGGATGAGGCGAAAGGGCACCGCTGGTGATGCACACGCGCACAGACAACTAAATGAAATGAAGTTGTGCATTCTGGTCACTCTCTCACTCCTCTCATTCACCTTGAATGACCATGAGCTCAATCTCTCTCTCTCGTCGTCGCCGTCGTTGTCTGAGAGAGCAAAGGGAAAGATGGAAAGAGTGAAACAGGGAGAGGGAAAGTGATGCATAGGGGCTGTAGTTAAGTGTGCAGCGTGCCGAGCCAAAATGGGTATGGAGTGCAGGGCAGCTAGCACCTTT